ACTATCTCCGACCAGACCCTAAAGGGATCGAAAACATCAAAACATGCCCTATGAACCGTTTAACCCGTAATCTGGGCCCTGCAAGTAAAACGCAGCAACCCTCGAGGTTAAGGCTATAACTCTCGTAATATTCCGTACGGGCAGGGCAGACACTCTAATCGGGGCCGGAAAGCCGGGTAGAGGTAGACTTGGAAGTGCCGGTCCTCGTACTATCCGCACACCGGCCCGAGCCAGAGCAGGCATCGGCCTTGCAGCAGCCGCGGAAACCGTTGGAGCAGGACTGGAAGTAGCCAGTGCCTGGGGCACAAACGGTAAGGTCGGCATGGCGCTTATTGGAGACCTCCAAGGGCTCGTAGGTACCTATGTTGTAGTCCGGGCACCAAGGGAGAAATGGGACCTACACCTTGAAATCTAGACCTGGCTTTTCACCTTACTATTTTAGTATAGCAATCAAGGACCGTGCAGTGTATTGTGATCGGAGCGAGGGGTGTAATGCTATAATTGGGGCCGCGATATAGGACGGTCAGTGGCAAGCCTCGTGCGAACTTGAGATGACAAAGGGCATGGCGTCATCATGTCGTCAAACTCGCCTCCGTACGGCGGCCACCACCTGGAGACCTATCTCGCTACTATCCACCCTTGGCAAGATACTGGAGGCAGTCATTGCGGAACGCCTGTCCTACGCGGTAGAGACATTTGGCTTGCTACCTGCGACCCACTTTAGAGCCAGGAAGAGACGGTCCGCTGAGCAGGCTCTCCTACTGATGCAAGAACAAATCTACAAAGCATGGAGTCGAACTCGCCTCCGTACGTCGGCCGCCACTGCGCTGTGTGGAACTAACCTCTACACAGAGGATCACAGTTTACTTCCACTAATTCTGAATTCCGCAAAGCGCTTGCACGTTTCCAGGCCATTCCGGAGAACGTCGAGCTTATACCCCATCAACAAAGAGAAGGGGAAACACGTTGTACATGAATGCATGAAAGGCCATGGTTGGGCGAATAACCGGCATGCATCGCAATCTCGCCTATAAAAGCCAATTTCGCTGTTTTGGGTCTTGTCGACATCCGACAGGACGGACCGAGTATCATTCTAATCAAATTCATCGACACCGCGCGACAGGCCTTCGAGGCTTTTCAAACGCATAATGAACAAGTTCCGAGCCAGGGATAGCTACCTCCCACTTCCCTGATCCCGAGCAGTATGCCGACGAAACCTTACCTCGGCTCTCCTCACACGGGGTTCGCCGATCTGTTGCCCGCTCCGAACACGGCGAATGGCTCGTCGAGATGTAGTTTCTGACCAAAGCCTCTATCCCCGTCGTCCTGGCCTACATGCTCTAGAACAGTCTGTAAACCGTATCCGTCCTTATCATTGGGCGGCTGTCATCGGAAGCCCTTGCCATCGCCGCCTTCTCATACGTGTTTGCCATGGCAACGTATGGCTGATTGCTCTCGGCGGGATGAGCGTTGGCCAGAGTCTTCTCCAAGGCCATTGCGATGGCTGCTAGTTCTGCTGTGTATGGGTTCTGCTCCTCCCTGGTGCCAAGGGTTATAGCGAATCTTGTCACGATCTCGTTGGTCCTGTTGAAGAGAGTGTCTCGTGCGATGCCACCAACACCGACAATGCCTTTCTTCACGGATAAACTTGTTGCAATCACGATGCCTATGGCTCCGTTTGCCATCTCGGTCGCCTTCTCTCGGTCAGCTTCGATCGTCGGCTGTAGGCGAGGTGCCCAGGGAGCGATGGCGTATTCTTGGATTGTTTCCATTTGGTCGACTTTTACACCTTCCCCGAAACGGGCGATCTTTTGAAGCGGGGAGACGAATCGCACTGTTGCCCGGATCTTCCTGAGCGCGAGGGGATGAGTCCCAGGCAAAGTGTGGATGTTGATCCATACCCTGGCTGCCGCCCGGGCATGTCGTTCTCGTATAGGGAGAATGCTCCCTTCGGCTTCTGCCACGGCTGTCGCTACAGTCCGAAAGGCTCCTGTGATTGCTAGGGCACCAACTTTCTGTGCCCTGTTCAGCCAGTTTAACGCCTTCTTCCCACACGCATGCATCCAGACGCTGGCCGCATAGTCCATGACGGGAGCCACTGTCGCTACGAACAGTTGTCTTGCTGTTCGCGGGGAAAGCATCTTCAGCTTCCTCAGGGCTAGAGCGGACCCTTGGTTGCCGTCTTGGCAGTGTGCTTCTTATAACGGAGTTCGCAGTCCATTGTTACCCCCAGGATCTTTGCGCTCTTCTTTGGTTTGATCGTGTCCCCTCTGACTATGAACGGCGTTTCGGAGGATCGCTCCTTGTTCCTTGTGAAGTGTACGATGGCCGTCTCTTCGCTCTCGAACTGGGCGCCGCTTCGTCTTTCCCAATCCAGGGCCCTGTCTATGATGGCTTGGATGCCTGGGCGGTTCGCCTCCGCTGTTAGGCCTACAACCCAGGCCGTGGAGTCGTCAACAAAAGCGATTGAGCCTCCGTTTGCGTTGATTTTGTGCTGCACCAGGTCTGCGTTAAAGAAGAGGAAGAGTATCGGGGATAGCGGTGATCCTTGTGGCAAACCCGCTTGGGGCAGCTCTTGCCGTTCCGACGTGAACCCGTTTACCACGATGGTCGCCGTGCGCTTAGAGCAAAAGGCATCGATCCACCTAACCAGGGACTCTGGTATGCCTCTTGCCCTGAGCCTCTGCAGTAGCCTGTCCTTGAAAGACCCCGTTGTATGCACCCTTTACATTGAAGCTGATCAGGCTGAGCACTTTTCTGGCTCTCCATGCTTTGTAGATTTGTTCTTGCATCAGTAGGAGAGCCTGCTCAGCGGACCGTCTCTTCCTGGCTCTAAAGTGGGTCGCAGGTAGCAAGCCAAATGTCTCTACCGCGTAGGACAGGCGTTCCGCAATGACTGCCTCCAGTATCTTGCCAAGGGTGGATAGTAGCGAGATAGGTCTCCAGGTGGTGGCCGCCGTACGGAGGCGAGTTTGACGACATGATGACGCCATGCCCTTTGTCATCTCAAGTTCGCACGAGGCTTGCCACTGACCGTCCTATATCGCGGCCCCAATTATAGCATTACACCCCTCGCTCCGATCACAATACACTGCACGGCCCTTGATTGCTATACTCAAAATAGTAAGGTGAAAAGCCAGGTCTAGATTTCAAGGTGTAGGTTCCATTTCCCGGCACGCCAAGTTGCCGTCTTACCGCCATAGCACCGCCCCAGCTCCGAGTCGAGACCCTCATCCAGCCTGACCAGACACCCAGCCGCTCCGGCGCGTGTAAGGCATAGTAGTAGAAAGGGCACTGGCAAAATGGCATCCAACTATACTTAAAAGATATCAGAGGTAGTTTCGCATATATAGATGACAATCCTTATCCATCATCTATGA